AAAAAGCAAAACCCTATTTGACTGTTACAGGTGTGTGTTAGTACACAAGTAATTCTGAACGGGGCCAAGTGCCCAATAAAACCTTGTGTTCATTCCAGCACCTAGAATCGGGCACGGAAATGACAGGTTGCTTCTGCATATCTGAACCTGCCTGCTGGGCCCAGGTCTGCCAGCAAAGCCGTAGTCCCGTCCCGCTGTGCACTGCGAATTCATCGAAACAAAACAAATACAAAAACACTCTGTGCAAAACAACCTATGCTTTGCTTCAAAATAATCGAGGGTGACAGGGGAGGATATAAATTTTCAAAGACTGGCTAATGAGTTGGTAACTGTTGAAGCCACGTGATGGGAACATGGAGGTTTGTCAGACTGTTCAATTTTGGTATTTGCTCTATGTAAAAAAAGAATACTTTCTCGGAGTCTCTGAGGAGGTAAAGCTTGGCATAGGGTTTTACACATTTTCAGCAACCTCGGGAGGCAGGCAGCAGGCCTGTGCCATCGATATTTCACAATGAAAACGCGAAGACTACTCAGTATCACTCAGAGCGGGTCAGAGTCCAGACTGGCACCGGGGTGCCCCCCGCTGCACCCACCATGCTCTTCCCTGAAGGCTCTGCGCCCCACTTCTCAGGCCTCACCCCACACTTAAGCTCCTGTGCAGAAGACAGGAGATAACTGCTAGGGACCCAGCAGGGAGGCGTCTGGCCACCCTCGCACTTTCCCAGCCAAGCTCTCTCGTGCCTCGTTTGCCTGGCTGTTCCTTTTTGTCCCCTCCTGTTCTGCCCCAGTGCACACTAACTGAGAAACAGACTCTCGGCCACACATCGGCAATCCTGCAGAACGCCGATAACACTGCAGCCCTTTTCAATCAAGCAGAATACAACTCGGAATTCATGAACTCCCCTATTCGAATCTGGGGCTGCCGAGGTGTTACTGGACAAGTTGGTAAAGCTTCCCAAGAGCCAAGAGTCGGTTCCGAAAAGAATGTGAAGAAACAGGGCATTAGCGGGCCCTCAGTTACAGCAGCGGGAAGTTTCGCTCTAGCTGAACAATTCAGGATGACCTTCGAAGGTCAAGGCGCCAGACCAAGCAAGCACAGCCTGGGGGTGGGAGAGAACAACACGGACCACTGGGAGTACAAGTGTCCAAAGTGTCAGACCGCCTGTCTGCCACCTGGCCCTCCACCATACACCTGGCCTGTGGGTGGGGCCTCCGGGTGGGGCCAGGCCAGGAGCCGTGCAGATCCAGGAAGCCACACACTGCGAGGATGAGGCAGCCTCCGTCCTCCCATCAGGAGAAGCCCAAAGGAAACCCGTCGAATGTCCTATATTGCCTTATTTCAAGGAAAATGACAAAGTTGCCGGAGACAGGCTGAGCACAAAGACGTGGGGTAAACAGCCATGCACTGAATCCCACCCTGTTTCTCCAGGACAGGCACACACAAAAAACCCCAAAACTTTGAGATAAACCATCAGGAGACGATGCTATAATATCAAGGGCAAAAGCTGGGAAGTCTTAACGCAAGTCTGCCTTGTTCTCAAGAGTTCGAGTCCAAACAGGGCATGCCAGAAATCCACAGGAGAGGCAAAATGTGGCATCACGGCCACTCATTCTGTCCCTCCCTCTGCACATGCCCCCACCCAGATACTGATAAGCAATGCTTGCTTAAGGTGTTCGATCGCGTCCCCGCACCCACCTGCATAGACTCAGTGTCTGCTTCTCCTGGACCTACCCCCCTGGCGACACACACATGCTAGGATACCTCCCGTAATGCCTTGACCATCTCCAGCTAGTGCTCGATTTTTCTGCTCTTCTTTAGGGCAGAGCCCTTGAAAGATCTGTCATGAGTCATAGTCTCCACTGCCCCACGTCCCCCTGGCTCCTTGGCCAGCTCCAGGTGGGTTTCCATCCCCCAGAGCACACAGCAGGTCTGGTCCACGTCACCAACAACGTCCACTTTGTCAAGGCCAATGCCAATTTTCTGTCCTCATCCTACGTCACGCCCCTGTGGCACAGCTGACTGTTCCTCTGTCCTTGAGAGGCTTCTATGATACAAAGTCTCCTGTCCACCCACTCACAGCCAACTCTGGAGCCGACTTTCCTCTTCAGGGTCCCCTCTAGCACCCCAGGACTTGACCTTCACACCCCTCCCTCCTCTTCTCAGTCAGCACACTCTCCCTCAAAGACCTCATCTAGCGCCCCCGCCACCGCCCCGATGGTAGTGAAGTCTTTCATCTCTAGGGTGGCCGCAGACAGGAAACAAACATCTCCATGTGGCTAAGAGACCATTCTCCCTCTTCTGTCCCAAAATTCTATCTCAGAACATGAGACCCCCATCCATCCCTTCACTCTGCAGAACCATTCCAAAATCAGATCCAACTTATAACCTCAGAGTTACTGAAAGTAGAAAATAATTCCAACTCCTTACTGACAACTGTTAAGGTCCTACATGCCCCGGCTCCTTCATGACTCTGTCCTCCCTCGTGTCCCCTTCTCCCTTGTACTCGCTGAGCTCCAGCCACAAGGCCCAAGTCCCTTGCCCCTGCCAAGTGCAGTCCTGCCTCAGGGCCTTTGCAAATGCTGCTCTTCTTGCCTATAGCTTTCTTCCCAGACCCCCACCGGCTGCCTCTTCACTCACACTCTGGTCTCAGTCCTTAAGTCACCTCCTCAGAATGCCCTTCCCTGACCACCCTAGCCAAGGAGCTCCCTACTCTGTTGCTCAGTAGGCTACTGCCATTACGGGTTACACACAAGCACCACAAGGAACAGGGCTTTATTGCCTGCGTCCACTCTTACCTCCCAGAGCCTAGAACAGGGCCTGGCCCACAGTCAAAAGGGCACTAAGTGCCCTGCTACCGACGTTTCATGGGGCTCATTCCCAGGCAGGGAAGCGGGAAGACAGACATGCGTGTGGGCCAGAGTTTCAAACGTTCCTAAACCTCCAAGGCTCAGGTAGGGGCCCATTAACCTGGTTTTCAATCACCTTGGCCTTCCCTGTCACTGTACTTAACAGTCTGTTTTATAATGGACTTGTCGCTGGTTCTGCCGGCGGCCGGGGGGCGGGGGCTCATTAACCCTGCCCACCTTCTCCTGCACAGCCTCACAGGGGGCCTGGCAAATCAACGGTTCGTGAAGAATCACGATCTACTGAATAAAAGACTAAGCGGCCGCTCTCGATAACTCACCCAGAAGACGATGTTGTAGCTGAAAAGGAGGTACTTATACCAGCAGCTGACCTCGGCGTTAGAGTATCTATAATAGTGCATCTTCCGAGAGGCGGGATCTGTGAACAGACATGGAGCGATGAGACGACAGGGTCACTTACAATAACATCTCCCCCAAACCTGCTCCCCAAGAAAGAGCAAAGGTGAGGCTCATGCACAGACTCCAGAAATCTACCCAAACTGTCTCCCCGTGTTCGTGCACGGGTTCAGGCTTCAGTTTACTCTCAATGCCAGCTGTAGACTGGGCAACAACCACATTCCTTCAACTCTCCAAAAACAGCCCCGAAAAGAAGAGATTTCTGAAAGAACGCAGAATGTCGGTGTTCAAAGTGTCCCCGGAATTCCAGGCCTTCCCAAACATCTATCTCCTCATCTCTGCATTGGGTGTTGCTGGTTCCACTGCTTGGCAGAGGAAACAGGAGTTAGGAAGGAAGGTTGTGGGACTTGCCCAAGGATAAGACAAAAAAACCCGACAGGGCCCAGGATCTGAACCCAGGACAGCGGGGTCCCCAGTCCACGTCCTCTCCACCCACCACTACCCGCGGCAGAGGGGCCAGGAGTAGAGGGAGTCACCAAAGAAACGGGGGCACTGAGAGGCACGTCTGGGAAGGAGAGATGAAAGGCAGGCATGATCTAACCGAGGCCAGTAAAGACGCCAGAATTAAGGCTCCATATTCGTTCATCCAACATTTTCTGAGATGACCTCCCAAGCTCTGTCCTCACAGAGGTGAGGAAGGTGGAGAGACCCCAGGAGCATACAGCAGCCAGCATTCGCCCATGCCTCTCTCCCCTCCCTCGCCTGCTTAACCTGCCCTGCAACTCGCCCACCACCGTTTTGGCCTCCAGAGGCTGTGGGTAAAAGCTCAGACTCCAGAATGCTCTGTGAACAGCACAGAGGGTGAAGTGGGGGGCCCTCTTTTTCTTTTTCATCTGTGTTCATCCCCCAAAGCCCCTCAGAGAATCCTACAAAAAGGAAGGTGCCCTCAAAAGGGAAATCTCAGGACCTGGCCCGCCTTTACCTGATGGGGAAGGTGGGGGGGGGGATGGGGGGGGGGGGGGGGAGTCTCAAGCTGACCCTCAGGAGGCAGGATCCAGGGTTCACCCCCAGGCCCCAGTTCACCTCCCACTTCCTGGGGTGAGGGGAGGGGCACATCATAACAGGGCCCAAGGCAAAAACAAACAAGGCTACTCCAGCAGTGAGGAGACAACCCACTCACAACTGCCGGGAAGAATCCAGCTACTGCCGCCTTGCCGAGGAGTGGCTGCTGCAAAATCCCTTCCTGGGCCTCAGTGGCCTGGCCACGGGGCTCATAATGTTCTGAGAAAGTGGTGCCAAGCAGGGACATGAAAACCACAGCCCTCTGGAGATGAGTGCTGTGCTGGCTCAACCCTCCTGGCCACAGAGCAGAATCAACAGGCACCGAAGCCTGGACACCACGGTCTGCTCACCTCCTCCCTCCAGGAGGGATGGGCGAGTCTGGCCGGTCAGGTCTCAAACACCAGCCAGGAAGGGGACAGCAACCTGGCAGCCCCGTCCCCACTGTCAGAGCCGCGCTTGCACAAAACTCCCCTCCGAGGATGAGGATGAATGTGATCCCAGGTACCGAAGGACACCGCTGGGGACAGGGCACACAGGAGGCCTGAACGCAGCCTGGGCCACGCAGGGCGGCTACAAGACCACCGGGGGCTCTCAGGCCGAGACTCCTTCCTTCGGCAATGCGACCCGACCCTGGGCAAGTTCCTGCCCTCTCAAGGCCTCAGCATCCTCAACTGAAACTGATCCCTGATGTCACTGGTGTTGAGGGACCCAGCTGACAGCATCAAACGACTTATCCTAAACACAGATCTCAAGGCCTTACCCTCTGCACGTTCTGATAAGTGGGGCTAGGCTGGGGCCCAGAATCTTCATGTTTGACAACTTCTGACTCGCCTAATGTACTAAGTATCAGCCCGGGCACCATGGACTGCGGTCCCTCTGGGGATCCTACAAAGGCAGAAGGACCCTGCTAGCTGTAGGGACACAGGACAGACTAGGGCTATGGTAGCGACGACTCTTGGTAGGCAACTAACTAAAAGGGAACCAACATTCACCCATTTGTGTTTCACAGATTACAAAAACCTCAAAGCGCTAAGTTTTCGTCCGACTTCAGATGACTGGCTTCATGCATATAGAAAAAAACAAAACAAAACTTTTTTTAACCTAAATCTCAGGTAAGTTCCTCACAGTGAAACAGTCAACTTGGCTGAAAATGCCCCAGAAGGCAGAAAAATGTTCGAAACGGTAGAAAACCTATTTCTGTTTATGGACAAGACAAGCCTGCTGCTTAGAACTGTCAAATACAGCCCCCTCTTCTTCGTGGTTCCTAGAGACGCCTGGAAGGTGGATGGCCATATGCTCCATAGAACGGAACCCCAGAGACTGGGGAGGGCTACTCAGGCATGGTACCCAAAAGTTCAGGAGTCCTCGAGAGTACTCCTTGGACACCAAGGAGGGTGGTCAGAGAGAGGGAGACACAGAATCCGAAGCAGGCTCCAGGCTCTGAGCTGTCAGCTTTAACCCAACCATGGTAAAGCTCTCGCTCAAAAGCTTTGGAGCAGTAAACAAAGCCAGTCCCCCTTCTTCCTCCACAAAGAAACCAGCTAATTAGCACAAGTCTGCATGTTTTCCAAGGTAGTGGCAGCCTCATCCCTGCCCTCTGCTTGGGGCCTTTGGGAAATGATTACTCTGAGGTGAAACAGAACTCTCAACCTGGAGCTCCCTGTTCTTCAGCTCCAGCCGGTTAAGCATGACGAACATAGAAAGGCCACAGGAGGGGCACCTGGGTGGTTCCATCAGTTAAGCATCCAACTTCAGCTCAGGTCATGATCTCATGGTCCGTGAGTTCGAGGCCCACGTCGGGCTCTGTGCTGACGGCTCAGAGCCTGGAGCCTGCTTTGGATTCTGTGTCTCCCTCTCTCTCTGACCCTCCCCCATTCATGCTCTGTCTCTGTCTCAAAAATAAATAAACATTTAAAAAAAAAAAAAGGCCACAGGAATTCATAACCACGCAGGCCCCAGAGGGGAGAGTTCTCTGCAGGGCACCTGGCCTCCCTCACCACAGGTTTTACCCTCTTTCACTGTGGCCCCCGAAGGCCTCACTCCACAAAGACACACAGGCAACCGGAAAAAGCTCTGCTTTCACAGACGTCAGGGTCCAATCCCACACCCAGAGAGTCTCAACAACCATGACACCAACTCCAAGCCCGTACCTTCCTGGAGACTCAGACACTTGGAACTGCACTAGCCAGGTCCACACCAGGGAAGGACTAGGAAACCCCTGATCACCCATGACACCGTGCACCACACTCAGACACGTCCCCTAAATGCCTGTCATGCACGACCCATTGCACCACTTTTGTTGGACCAAGATAACCCTGTGAGGTCTAGGCGTGGGGATGTCCCAATGACACCATTTCCCCATCCAACTCACAAAAGAGGAAACTGTTGAGGGGAAACATTTCAGTCTTTTGTCACCCACTTGTTTATTCCTCCCCGTGGGAAGAAAAGGCACTCAAGTAACCACAGGTGGGGAGAGTGACCCCACTTCCCCACCCCCAGGGAGCCTAAGGAGCAGAAAGAAAGGCTGCTCCTCTCTCTCTCTCTCTCTCTCTCTCTCACTGCAATCTGCCCTGCTGGCCTCCGGCTGTAGAAGCAGGTCCCTAACGTCACTGTCACCAAAGATCTCTGAATGTAAACCAAAGGAGGTAAAGGGAAGATCTGTGTGGACCCCAGTCCAAGCCACGCCTCCGACACAAGGCCCTGGGGACCTCAGTTTGGGGAACGAAGCCAATGCTGAGCTCCAGTGGGTCTGGTTCAGCCGCTTCACAGCCTCAACGCCCTGGCAACCCCACCTGAGTGTTACCCACGTTGACACAGCACCCCGAGAAGGTGACAAAGGCACTGGTGCCGAAACTAAAGCCCAGAGCTGACCCAACATGCAGCCAAATGACCCCGAAGTAACCGTGGTCCCTGACAGCTCCTCTTATTTGCTAAACCAAGTCATATCAGAGGAACGCAGAACTCCGCTCTCTACCAACTAAGGAACTTAATTAAAACCAATACCATTGAGGGACGCCTGCTGGCAAAGCTTGTAGAACATGCAACTCTTGATCTTGGGATTGTAGGTTCGAGCCCTATGTCGGGGGTAGACATTACTTAAAAATAAAGTCTTCAGGGGCGCCTGAGTGGCTCAGTCGGTTAAGCGTCAGACTTCGGCTAAGTCATGACCGCACAGTTCGTGAGTTTGAGTGCCACGTCGGGCTCTGTGCTGATGGCTTGGAGCCGGGAGCCTGCCTGAAATTCTGTGTCTCCCTCTCTTTGCTCCTCCCCTGTGTGCACTCTGTCTCTCTCTCTCAAAAATAAATAAACATTAAAAAAAATTTTTTTAAATGAAACATAAATAATGTTTTTGGCAGCCGCAGCAATTATGACAAAGGGTAAAAAATCTACAATGTCTAAAAATCCATACTCAAAAGACTCCAGTTTTAGACACAAGGACAAAAGAGACGGACATTAAATGAAAGGGAAGGACAATATAATGAACAGATGAGAAAATGTTCAACATCACTGGAAATGAAACTGAACGACAATCCAGAGATGCTATCTCCTGTTACACTTTTTAATTTGACAAAATAACCACGTAGCTGCTGCTGGCAAGCCCATGATGAGGATGCCAAGTCCGTGATGAGGATGCCAAGTTCACACCTTGCTGGCAGCAGAGTAAATTGTTACCACTCTTTGGTAAGCAATATGGTTACAGACACTCAAAACCAAAAAAAGAAAAAAAAGAAAAGAAAAAGAAAGTCATACCCTTAATCCAATAAAGTCATGACTAAGAATCTGCCACCAGAAAATAAACCAACAAAAGAAAAAGAATATGCATTAAGTTTGAAATCTGAACATCATGGTTTGCAATTACAGAACAATTTGTAAGCATGTGGTTGAAGGCCAAAATGGAATATAAAAGTGTGGAAATGGTTGCATGGGGGGGTAGACTGCTAAG